CTACTTCCCTTCCTCCAACTTTTCCTTTTGCCCACTGTTAAACCACCGTGCCCTCTTGACCCTATGTTGTAGCCACCATTCTTATGGATTTAGGAGAGGCTGAGACTCCCTTTAGACTAGTCAGTCCTGCTTCTAAATTGACTACTAGAGGGTTCCCGTGGATTCTAGCACTCAGCAGGGGAAGGTACATTACTGCCTGAGCTGGATGTTGTATCTTGATATGATGATGGACTTTGGTCAAAATCTCATATATATATATATATAGATAGATAGATAGATAGTGGGATTTTTCAGAAGTGCTCAGCATTGGACGGCTCAGCTCCCACTGAAGTCAACAGGTTGACTTTTTTTTGCCCCCAATTTTTTCCCATTAGAAAATGGTTTCCCCAAATCTAGAAACTGAAAATGGAAAACGGATAGACTTTTTTTGGTCTTCAACAACTGACACAAAACATTGTAAGTCAAAATGAAGAAAATTTTCTTCCCAGCTCTAGCGATTGCTATTGATGTCAGAGTTAGGCCCACCCATATGGCATGACCTTACCGGGATAGCAAGCCTACTCCACTCTTACTCTTCTCTCTCAGAGTTGAGACCCTTTCCTCTCTCAGGACTAAGACTCTGTTCGATCTAATAGCTCCAGCTTTCTCCACCATGGGACAGGGCAGCTTGCTCTACCTAGCAGCCACGGTGTGCTGGTATGACGATACACAATTCTCCCCCTTTTCCACATCTCCAATAAAACTCTTGAAGAGTTTCACCAGTTTTATTTCTTTGTGCAACTGCTGTCCCAAATTTAGCTTTTCTCCCTCTCCTCCCCTCCCCCAAAATATTTTTTAGGAGTCTGAACACTTTTTTGGTGAAAATTTGCAATGCATCTTTTGTGCCAAATTTTGGCCAGAGGGAGTCTTTTGACAATCTGAGAAGGGCAGGAACGTCAGTCAGGAGGTGTGCCTCTGGATGTAATTGCTAGTCTCCCAGTGGATTAAACACAAGGCTGGGAGCCAAGGCCGTCAGCTCAGTGCCACTGACAGCTGCTGCCTCAAGCTTATCCATCAATCATTGAATGGTGGTATTGAACAATGATTGTGACAGAATACAGTCTGGCTGCACTCCCAGATAGGAAACCATTCTGCTCTGAGATCCTGAATATACCAGCGACATTGTCTGGCGAATTGTTGCAGCTGATCTGGTTGAGGGATAAACAATGGTTTGAACCCCTACCCATTATCATCAAGTGGCCTCCAGCTCTGCATTGCAATCAGCTCAGAGGCACCGATATTTGGGCAGCGTGATAGTGCTGGAAGAAAAGATGTGGATGCTTGTATAGAAGCAGCTGCCGCCATGTTTTAGGCCCTTCAACGGCCTTTGTTGGGGGCGTTGTGACATCAAACTCGCTGTGAAGCTGAGGATCTGTAGAACCACCGTTATACAAACTCTGTTGTAAGGCAGTGAACATGGGCTCCGACGAAGGCTGAAGAACACTGGATTTATGTTTTTGGTCCCTTCCAACCTTGAGATTCTATGATTCTTGTTGACTTTGTTAGCTGCTCCATATCAAGTGGCAGGACAAGATCAATAATTAGGCTATTTGAAGCCAAACTCCGCCACTGCCTCCATCAGCACTGGTTTGGCTTTGATGGTTTTCTTGGTGTGGACATATTATTAGACGGGAAGCCCAGCAGATTCTGAAGCGTGTGTACCAAGGAATGCTGCTACATGGCTGGTGATCAGGTGGGCGTTGAAAGCTTTGGGGATGTGACAGTGATGGACATAAACAGAGTTTACCATCTGACCACTTTAAGCCTCTTTCCAGAGATGGATCCAGGTGCTGCTCAATTTGCAAGGAGGCCATGTGCCTCCGGGATTTACCATGATGATGATGATGATAGCCAAGGCAACTGAAGTACTAGTTCTGGCCATTCAACCTGTATCTCCCTCTGCATGCTTTGGTGAAAGCATAAACGTTGACATATGCTGTAAATAGTTAAGGATCCTCTGAAACTAGAAGCTGTTATTGTAAAAGCATATAAAATGCTAAAGATATGAAAGTGTGAGTTTTTGTCCTGAACTGTGTAATGCAGGTGCCTTTTAACAGTAATGTCTAAAGACAGCTGTTCACTGCAGTTTGTCTGCTGGCGGCTTGTCACTCGCTGATTAGCAGCTGGTAATGCTGCTCTTGGAAAAGCTGTGTAGTCAATCAGCAGCTGGAGGGGGACACCTGAGGGGAAGTGGAGGGAGATGTTTCTCTCCCTCTCGTAATAAAAAATTCTTACAGCTGAAGATTTTCATGATGTTTCTCATGAGATCTGTATGTAATGGTGCGGTGTCACTCAAAGTAGCTTAAAGGGACTGTCTGATTAAAACCATATTTAAAAAGCCTCAAACTTGCCAGTGTTGCATATGCTGTTTTAGATAGCATTTTAAAAACTAAATCTTCCCTTTACCATTCATTCACCTTGTTTGCATTTCACTCCTTGTGGGCAGTTCTGTTCTTCCCCCCCCTAGTCGCTGTCACTCTTTGGTTACGCTACATTACCACAATACTGCAATGTTTGGGAAGTGGGGCAATGTTTAAAACTGGACTGGAAAGAATTTTTGAAAATATTCCTATTGATGTTATGTTTATAACACACGTTCATAAGCGCATACAATCTGGGTCCTAAATGAATTGATATTGCTTCTTTAAAAGAGGATCTTATCCTTTGACATATTGGCAGAACAGTTTGTGAGGAAGCCTCTGTAAGAATAGCCGTTTTGTGAAGTAATCAAGGGAGAAATACATGTGCATTAGGTTTCTATTTGGTCTGAAAATTCAGTGCCATCTGTTCCAGATGTTTTCAGCTGCATTTATAGCAAGCAACTGCTATGCTGCTTAAAAAGAAAAACAGTTTATTTTACACTCTTTCTCTCACCCATTGCACTTAGACGACCAGCCATCGAATCAGTTCCTTTGTCTGCGTAACAAAAGTTGCGCAAATAGTGTTGAATAATTTAATAAATGTGAACTCTGAGGCAAGGCTTTTGTGCATGTGTGCTGGCTTTGTATTTGTAGCTGCTAATGCTAGCTTGTAGAGAATGTTAAATCTTATATCATCGTGCAGGGGAACAGCAGCTTGTAAAATGGTACAATGTTCATACATTGTAAAATAATAGGAATTTATCCTCCAGAACAGACTTCTGGTTACCTGCTACATACAGTATGTGAGGAAACCATCAGACTATACTAACTAGAGATGGGCCTGTGCTGCAAAGTTCAGAATTGGATCCAAACTTTGTGGGTGCCAGGATCTGGGGTGTTGGTTTGGGCTCATCTCTAGAATTAAACATGTCAGATGGTGATCTAGTAATTATTATCCAGAAGAAACAAATGCACTGTGGGTGTTCACTTATTGGTTTTGAATCTGGCCCCCTCTCCTCTGCCCCTCCCCCTATATGAAATATTCAGGTATCTGCTGTGCGAAGTGAGCTTTTCTTAGCTGGAAACTAATAGCTAAAGGCTATAATAATGTGGCTGTTACTAAGAGTCCAAGCTGGAGGAAAACACAACTGTTGATGGGAGAATTGCTGGTAAACTGTTAGCTGGAAAATGGAGAGACGAGGGGGAATTATGAAGCTTATTGGCTTATAAAATTCTTGGAATGGTTTTTGCTCAGAGAAAGCTTGACATCTTGTAACAAAGCAGACACCCTAGTAAACAAATTTGTTCGCTAGGTCTCTATATGCGCAAGATTACCCTGAGCTCTTGAAGATCTAAATCAATTTACTGGCAGCTGTTTTTGCTTTTAGAGCACCCTTTTGGGGGGCATGATTAGAAGACCTGATAAAGTGTTAGTATGTTCTCCAGGGATTCTCCCACTTTGGGCTGGCTCTCTGAGCCTTTGCAGGAGGGTTGCAATTATTTCCCAAATGCCCTTGTCTTTCACAGTTGGTAGAAAACTTTAGGCCCCAGTTCTGCAGCGTTACATGCTCTGAAAAGCCTCATTGACTTCAGTGCTGTTTGCAGTGTGTAAATTAAGAACCCCTATTTGACAATTAGCACTGAATGGTTTCCCTATCCTAAGAATGGTAAAGGTTGACAAATGTTTACTTATTGACATTAAATATAATTAAAGTATTTAGCATAGTATGTTGCAGGCTTCCTTTAATTTTGATTGTAACTCTTGATATTTGCTAGTCAGAAGTAGGTTTACAAACACTCACTAGGGAAGTTTCAGTGATCTTATTTAGTGGTGAAATTGTATAGTGAAAATCACATTTAATTGAACAGGAGGGCTTCCTGGCATTGTTATAAAATTAGGAACAAATGGGAGGTGAGGGGAGAGAGAAAGGGGGAGAGAAGTGAAAGAAAGAAAGTTAGAAAATCAATACATGAATGAATGGCCTGCACACACAAATGACTGCTGTGATGGCCTGACTTGCTGTAGCTTGGTCTCTGGATAATCCTCAGATGTCAGATTTCCGTAAGGCCAACATGTGACACAAAGCTTGCCTCTCCACAGAGAAGTGTGCTTTACTGGTATTAAGAGGCTGGCTGGCGCCTCGTCTCTCACCGTGCATGAGAATGTGTGTGTGTCTGTCTGTCTGTATGCATTATGTGTGTCTGTTTGTGTAGGTGGTTCTACGGGCAGTGTGTTTTAGAAGAGCTTTTAAGTGAAACCGGATTTCCACAAGCTATCGGCTAGTGTATAGACGCACCAAACTACTATGTGCGTCTCTTTTTTTAAAGAAAAGACTCCGAGCTGGGATTACCTTTCTCGCACCTGCCACCACTGATGTCCTCTCAAGGTTAGAGTTTGAGCTACGTGGGACCAGCTTAATACCAAACGCCATTCAAAAGGAGCTGCATGAAGGAACAGCAGACACGGAAAGAAGAGCACCAGCACCCACCCAATAACATGAACAATAGTTTGCAGGTTAACCTGCCCAGGAGTTGGGCTGGTTCAAATAGCTCACTCCAGGAGAAGTCTGAGCACTCTTTTTTTCTTTTCTATTACTACAGAATGGAGGATGAGGCGGTGCTGGACAGAGGGGCTTCCTTCCTTAAGCATGTATGCGACGAAGAAGAAGTGGAAGGTAAGAGATCTATATTTCTTGGGTTAATGTGTGTCTTTAAAATTTAATATTTATATATTGGAGCAAAACAAATTGCCACAGGCAGATTCAGTGAAAAGGGATAGTTCTTTTTCTGAACAATTAAGCTTAAAAATGATTGAAATGGCGGCAGCCAGAATTAGCATAGACCTGACTTTTTACAGCTTAACTCTCACTTTGAAAACGGGACTCTCTTTGTGCTGCTGGCATTCTTTCTTTATTTCCAAAATAACATTCACATGCCTCCACAGAATAGCCATGAGATGCTGTGTTTTTGTTTTTTTTATATATAAATGCATTTCACAGCACTTACGAATCAATATTGCACCTTGTATGGCATACATTGGCAGGCCTCACAAATGGAGGAGACCCTTGCACAAAATGATCCCAGCTGAGTCGGTATTGAGTGCTGGCCTCTGGGTGCCAGACTCCGGGCACTAAGAGGATCATTTTCTGTGGGATTCTTTCGGCTTAGAAGAAATACAGGCCATGACTTTCTGTGAGAAAAGGGACCTGTTTAACTAGGCCAAGAGTTGCTCCATATTTAAAGAAATGAACAAGAGCATCTGAATTTTTTTTCTTTTGCATAAACTAAATATATTTATATAACTCCCTCCAAACTATGAAAATAGTTTTAGAAAATATCTGCAAAATACAGTGATTGGGTCTCTGAATGCAACTATCAAGCTTCCAGCAATTCAAAATAATCATTTCAAAAAATAGCCTGGAAACTGCCAGATATGAGAAGCACAGTGTTTTGTTTCCTCAACTATGTCAGCTGTACTCCATGGCTATAAAAACCACCCTGTTGGTTTTAACTAGGCCATTTACTGTCTATAGGGGTTGGGGTGAGCGGGTCTCCTGTTGGAGGATACTGACCCCACGGGTGTGACAGCCTTAGCATGGAACGTAAACATGTAATTTTTTCTTTAAACGTTTCTCCATATTTTAAAGCCTAAAATGGTGACAAATCCTGTAACTGCAGGTGGAAACAATGTAAATAAAACCTGCCCTCTAGCCTCCTCCGATAATAAAACACAGTTATAACGGTAAGGAGCAGAGCAGCAAAAGGTCATGCCAACCCCCTCAAGGTGTATTAAAAATAGAAGGGTTTTGAGTGGCTGTTAAGACTCTGATTTTCTATCTGACCCTTCTTTAATATTCTTTCCAGGTGAATATGCAAATGTGATCTATCATTAAAGAATCGCAGTCCAATTGTTATCACTTTGCTGGGGGCAGGGAGTAAGAGTAGGTGAAAAGAGATGAAGTGTCTATATAATTCCTCAGCACAGGAGACTGGGAACTGTAACTCCAGGTCTGAGCCTTTTGATAGTTATACAACCCAAAGTTTGAGTCTAACTTCCCTTGTTCTCATTAATGGCAGTGCCTAGGTACTACAGTGAAACTTCTTAAACACCCCCAAATAACTAGTTAAGGAAGCTAGCACATGTAAAGTTGTGAATACTTGCAGTGTAGCAACTGCCATTGTATCGGAATAGGAACAGGTGTGCTAATGTGAAAAGACTTCAAGTTGCCACTTCGCCTCTGCTGTTCTTTGGGGCATGGGTTGTCCTTTTCGGATGTGCTTTGACAGCACCGGGCACATTTTGGGCACTTTGCCATATAAATAATTATTCATATGTGTTGGCCTTTTGTATACGCTGCATTTGCCTAACCAAGAACACACCACGCATGCATGTACCTAATCTACCTGTAACAGTAACACTAATGGGAATTATATGAGAGCATATGTCTCTATGGCATGTCCCCAGACTTTGAAGATAATTTAAGATCTGTGTGTGTATCTGGCCATTTCCTGCTGATTGTCATGAAGAAGTTATCATTTCACTTCTGGTGTTAATGGGTAAATGCTACCTGCCTACCTTGCTTTAATATCAAAAGGGCATAGGTAATAACTACAATACATTTTTGTTATGAAGAGCTGCTTTGTTGGCAGCTGGCTGATGTCGTATAGAGATGCTCGGAAATATGGCTCAGCATATTTTAGTGAGGTTACTTCCCAATTCCATTTCCCAGAATGGGAAAATATAAGCATTATTGCGAGAATGAGGAACAAACGGAGCTCCAGGGTCAAGTTTTTCTAAAAAGAAAAGCAGCCCCATTTATCGACAGCACTGTACATTCTTTTCTTAAAAGGTAGTGACGTATTCCTAAAATTCCACCAAGTCAGGAATCTAGATATGTGAGACACACAGATTACTTAACTTGTTTTGGAACAAGGGAAAAAGTAAAGCTCCACCTTATCCCTTGTGATAAGATCTTGTCTCTCTAACTCCCCTCAAGCCAGTAGTAGCTCTGACTTCATAGTGGGGCGGAGGATACTTGATTTCAAGTTTGGCAACTCAGTTAAAACTGTAAAGAAGGAGGGGCACTCTGACAGGGTTCAGGTATGTAGGTGAATGTGGCCTGCATTTCCGCAAGTTTCCCCCCACCCTGTATCCATCTACTTTAATAAGTTATGGATACCATGAAGATGGATGCAGTATTGGAACCCGACTAGAACAGAATTCTCTGTTACACTGGAAATTTATGTCTGTGGATCTCATCAATGTTAAGGGGAGTTATCTACATAAACATCTGTACACATGGATCAGAGAAACATGTGGAACTTAATTAGGGACTTTGCAACAAGAGAAACTTTAATAAAAAAACTTCCCAACCCGTAAAACCATTTGCTATTTTTGCTAAACCTCTTTTTCTTTTGCTTGCCCCTGTTGTGATGTCAGTAGATTTGTGTTATCACACATTTGGGGGAAAAAGTTGTGTAATGTCATAAAATGCTACCCTTAATTTTGCTTCACTCAAACATCACTCATTTTGCAGTAACAATGGGAGACTGTGAATTACTGATTGATTGATTAATTTTTTTTAAATATAGTATAAATGAACAAGAGAAATTAAAAAATATAAGCAAGGAAAAATCACCACAGAATGTACTTTGTTAATTTGTTTTGATAACTTAGCTTAGTTTAAATTGCACAATAGAAGAGGGAGCTGCGTTTTTGTGTCTTCAAAATCTCCACAGACTTTGATTTTGCTGTTACAAAATTAGGAGTGATTACTTAAAGTGTAAGCTCTTTGGGGCAGGGACTGTCTTGTTTTGTTTTGTATCTGTACAGCACCTAGCACATTTGGGGGGGGAGGGTCCAGATATGGACAAAGCCCTCAGTGCTGCCACAATACAAATAGTAAATAGCAGTAGGGGTTTGGGTTCCAATTCTGGTTTTTATGTGAACCTTCAAATTTTGAGAGGCTTCAGATAAAAGATTTCTATTTCAGCTCCTCTCTAGTTTTAATTCTCTGTTACGCTTTGTATACTATTAAATATGCTGTAGTACAGCTTGGATAAACTCTCAAGTCCTGATTCCATACAAATGCAGTAGAACCTACCTTAAATGGTCTAATAGGAGGTTCTTTGCATAATACCATCTTTCTAACATTTGATAGCTTGACACTAGTAAATCTACCAGCATGTTTACCATCCGTTTTTTTCAACTTATGGCTAATCTTCTTTATCTGTAGGTGAGATGTCATTCTAGTCTGCTGCAAATGTCTTTTATCCGTCGGCAGGGTAGTTGGCAGACTTCAGTGTTCTCTTAATGTGCTGGTGTCGTGTCTGACATCAGTGCTTTCTCACTTCCACTGCTGTGACACTTTAATGTCCTATTTGAAGGGCTCGGATTTAAAAACTTGGGTCAAAATTGGGATGACTGTAAAGTGATTTTATTTAAAATGGTACTTAGCTGAATGTGCATTTTAAAAAGAACTGTCAGGGTTTTTCCTTCTGCCTTTTAAAGAAAGTACACCTTTGGGAAGTGTCATAGAGTTTAGGGCCAGAATGGACCATCAGATCATCTAAACCTCCTGAGTGGCACAGGCTACTCACATGCTAAACATGAAAAGGCAGTGTATAAGTGCTGAGTGGTCTTTCTTTTAAAGGAATATTAAATTCTCCAGTGACAGAGCCTTGTACTACAAATTATTTTACATCAAATCTGAGGAAAGTGTTTTGTAATACCATAATGGCAATAACATGGCTTTTTTAACCCCCGTTTTAAAGGGAGAAGATAGGAATTGCTGATTTCCTTAATTAAAGGCAAGGAGCAAACACTCAGCCAGCATTAAAAACACTTAATATGGTATTAAATGATCAATTTAAAAACAATCCATCTCTGTGCAAAAGTGACACGAATGAGATGCGCACCTGCTCTCCAACTTGGCGGCTAACCAAACTTGGCTGAAGGCCATGCTAGTTGAAATGGTGACAGTCAGACGGCGGCATTGTGCCCCTTGGTCTGCTGGTGTGAGAGAGTGTTCCAATGGAGGGCTTTGGATGTACTGATGGAGGCAAACCAGAGCACCAGGCCTGCCAAGAGAGCTGCCTGCACAGGCTCCAGCTTGACAGGCAAATTTGCTGGGACTGTGCAGGATCCCTTTTCAGGATCATGGCCCATACTATTTAACTGTACGCATAATAATATACATTTACTGTGTGTGGAGCAGGGGTTCTCAACCTGTTTCTTTCTGAGCCCCCTCCTCCCCAACATGCTATAAAAACTCCATGGCCCACCTGTGCCGCCACAACTGGTTTTCTGCATATAAAAGCCAGGGCCGGCGTTGCAGGGTAGCAAGCAGGGCAGTTGCCTGGGGCCCCACACCACAGGGGCCCCGCAAAGCTACATTGCTCAGGCTTCGGATTTAGCCCCTGGTGGCATAGCTCAGGGCCCTGGGCTTCAGCCCTGCACAGCGGGACTTCGGCTTTCTGCCTTGGGCCCTAGTGAGTCTAACACTGGCCCTGCTTGGTGGAGCCCCTGAAACCTGCTTGTGGCCCCCCAGGGGGCACCGGACCCCTGGTTGAGAATCGCTGGTGTATGGGACAATGCTATGGTCAGCTTACCCAATCAGGTTGTGTGTCCGCTGCCTCAGTTTCTCCAGAGAAGTACATGTAGACTCGTGGTTTG